TCCTCCTGCCACCTCCCAAGAAGCACAGCGAACTCTAAAACACTCATTCCTGGCTTATTTTTAGCTCTCATATGTAAGTTTTCGTGATTTTCTGTGGCGGCTGAGAGCACCCTAATGACTTCAGGTCACGTTTCCCCTCAGATGAATCCCGCAGCTGCCGTTGGCCGTATGAAAGACGGAGGCCTTTGGGCGGCCGAGAGGCTGGACGTCCTGCTCTGAGTCACGGCAGACAGCGTCGCCGATAATACTCGGGTGCAGACAGGCAACGAGCCGGGGCCTAAATGTAACTGAAAGATGACCACGTGGCCTGAATGCCGTGAAGCTGGAATGTAGCTTTTGGGTTTTGGGTTTCACTTTAAACTCTGGAGGCTGCTGGCAGCGTGCGTGTCGGCACCGACCCACCAGACTGAAGGAAAAGTTGGATTGTTGAAAACTTCAGGACTGAGAAATGACCGCGTGAGATGAGAGTAAACTGATCTGCTCTCAGATTTACATTCCTCCATCGTAGCGGAGGCAGACGGCAGAAATGGTGATGAAAATATGTTCTAGGCAGGTTTGGTCTTTGATGGAAATCTGAATCCAGTTGGAAACAATTATATTTTTCTTTTTATGGTTTGATTAAACAAAACGTTTAACGTGTTTACTTTGGACAGAGACAAATTTGCTGTTTTTATTGTTCATATTTAACATTTACTCAGAAATAAAACCCAGCAAAAGTCTCTGTTTTATTTTTTTATGTCAGCTTTATTTTATTTCTCTATCCTTCAGTGCAACTGTATTTTATTTTAATTTAAAGCGAAGCACTATTAGGAGAAGGTGCTGCATAAATAAAACTCACAGTCACAATTCTGTCAACCCAGCTCTAATTAAAGGAAAAGTGATTTGACTTCCAGAATGTTTAAAGCTCAGTAATAAATATGTCAGCTGTTTTATCCAAATATAACTTTATCCATCTTATTCACATATTTAATTTCATCTGATCTAAACATCAAGTGGTTGGAGTTTCTCTGCAGCTTTGGCACTATGGGTTCATTAATTTCCAAACCACTGAGGGTTGATCTGAAACCAAACTGTTCTCAAACGAAACCAAGTGTGTCAATTAACTGGAAAAACCCCACCCCCCAAATTAAAACAAAATGAAAAAGACAAAACTCAGTTTTTGTATTCTATTTTAACCACCTTATATTTGTTCAGATTGTTAAACTATCACACATTAAGAGTTTTGTGGTGGAATTTGTAAAGATTGTTTTAGTTTTGCTCCTTGTTTTTAATCACACTCCACTTCCAGTTGAAACCAAACTCCCTGCCAGCTAACCCAACTCGTCAGCAAATCCCGAAGAAAAGACTTGAGTCAGTGATACCCGTGCCTGTTGCTACCTGCTCCGTGTCGTCTCTTCTGGCTTAAAGCTCTGTTTGTTGCAGCTGCACCTTCATTCAGTCCAAACCGCCTCAGAGTTTTCTGATAACTCCTGTTGACATGTGCATGCTTATTTCTGAAATCACACTAATCCCTTGTGCTTCCTCCATCGCCTCCTCCCCCTCCCCCTCTTCCCTTGTCTTGGCGTTCGGCTCACGCTGTGGTTGTTTGTAATGAAGGTTTTGGGCTGTCGCTCGCCGTCTGTGAGTGGGAGCATCTGGAGCGGATAAAGAATGGCTGGATAAGTGGACAAAGCACAATCTGACTGCTCTTCAGAACTCGTGCAGCCGCTGTGGGAACATTTTTTTGTGAAAGTGTGTACATCCATATGTGTCAGCGGTTAGCCCTGCTCTTTATTTACTTTGGTGTTGAGGCCTGATTTAAACTCTCACTCCTTTTGTTTTGCTGAGTGTTAACCATGAAGTGCTTCGGCCGAGGGTTTGGAGGAGCTCTGGAGAGTGTGTAAAATAGCATACATCTGTTGTCAAGAGGTGTAACACAGGCGACAGGAGCTACACTTAGCAGGGAAGAGGGTGTCGGTGCACGCTTGGCCGCACGGCAAGGGAAAGTGTCGGACACGAGTGTTGAGAGCAGAGAGAGAGTGTCATTCAGCTGAAGTGAGCACTCGAGCTGCAGAGGGGACAGGCAGAAAGTGATGCAGGTCACCTCTGCAACCAGAGAAAAGAGCATTTACACCCACAGCGTGGACAGAAAGGGACGAGGGAAACACATTCGTATGCACAAGTGCAATCATATCACCCTCTCCTTTCAGAACCAACCTTTATTTCTACTCCATTGTGTCCCCATTTCTCCCCTACCTTCGATGCGCTTTTCCAAACACACAGCAAATCCAGCATCAATAATGGAGCGGGCCGTATCTTCTTATACAGAGACGCCATGCTCTTTAGATGAATAATACACCGATTTAAAGAGCGTACGGAGGCAGATGAGAGGTGGAGAAGTTAATCGAGCAGAGTAGGGGGTAACGTCAAGAAAGAAAAGGCAAGAGGCCGTCGTGCATTAACTCAGCACTCAGGGTCAGATTGCCGACTCAGCACTTGTTCCAACTCTAAGGGACAAACTTTGAGTGTTTCAGCTCTCAGACAGAGTTCAGAAGAGATGCTGCAGGAGCGACGAGTTAAATAAAGGAGCTTTTTACTCCCGTGTGCACCCGCCACTAAACGTCCCCCTCTTTCTGCGCACGGTGGTCTCGTGGACACAGGAGGGCTCTGATTTCCTGGCGCGAGATAATCTGTTAAAGGTGTTCAGCGCTTTAACTTAGCATGTCGCTGTGAATTATTCAGCATGCTTAAGTCACACAATGAGACGTGCGTGATGCTCCTCGAGCGTCCCTCCGTGTAATCTTCCCGTACAGGTTTATAGCAGGGGAGGGGGGGAGCGGGGAGTGACGTGAGGACTGTGGTCCCCTCAAGAAATTAAATGGCAGGGGGGCATAAATATTAATGTCAAAAATGTTTGTTAAGTCTTATTTATGCATGACTGTGCCCAAGGAGGATGTTTAAAGGAATCTGAAATGACACATTTGAGCTACTGTGTGTGTGTGYGTGTGTGTGTGTGTGTGTGTGTGTGTGTGTGTGTGTACATGCGCGCGTGTGTTTTAGCGGCTGTAAAAAGGATGATACTTAATAAGGTCACAGAACATGATCTGTGAGCGTATTTGATTCATGCACGACATGTTTATCAGTAATCCTGACTTATTTGTTACATCAACTGATGTTTAGATAATTCCTTGAAGCATATCGCCCGCCGCCTTTTACGCCAGAGTTTCAAACTAAGATGGTTTTGTGGTGAGAGTTTAGATCAAACCTTGAAAACAATATTATGCCTGATGCGCAAGGGTGCAACTTTAGGTTTATCATTGAGGGGGTTATGCTCTGAAGCCCTGCATGTCATTTTTATAAATTGTGCTTAAATTTACATACCGGTATATGCCATCATAAATTTTTAAATCAGGTTAAAGTTACCTAAAGACAACAAGAACGTTACATCTGTCCAGTTATTTTCTATTGTGTTTGAGCAAATTATTAAATTTTATTGGAGGGTTTATTTTTACTTGATTAAATTATCGTGGGGGTCATGATCCCCCTAACCCCCCTGCAAATTATGCCCATGTTGATGCAGCATAATATTGAGTATGAGTTGGTGTCATGATCCTTGTATTTTGGTTAAGGTTTTATGGTTCTTCTTTGTTTTGTTTTCTTACTTCCTGTTTAGCTTCCCTGCCTGTGTCCAAATTCAGGGACTTCTTTGAAGGACCCGGTCTACGTGGGCCTTTGTTGACAGCAAAGAGCAAAAGAAAGTGGCTGTGAATTTGGACGGTCTAGCCTTCAGCTTTATTCCAACCCTTATCCTGGTGTTTGTCTTGTCGCAGAGCAACTGTGACAACGCTAAGCAGAAGCAATGACGATCAAAACTGAATCAAATAAACAAAATATCAATATTATAAATGGACAAAACTGTCTTGGCAATATGAAGAACTATTGGACCTGCCATACAAGCTCATTTACGATGATTTCTGACAAGAATAATAAAAACATGTCTAAAAGTGACAAAAGCACAACACAACTGCTTTAAAGTTTAGTTTTTGTACTGCCATTTTTTTAAAACTATACTACCGCTTCTTGCTTCGTCTGCCGTTACGAGAAAAAAAAAGTCTAGCCAGTTGATGCATCTTGCGATAAGGTGGGCTGTGAAGAATACACCAGACCCGTGCCTCAAATTGAGGGAAAATATTGTGCATTTGTGAGCCGCAGTTGGAGGAGACTTTGATTATGGACATCCTTCGGCGCATCGCTGTGATGTAATCGGCCCTCAAATTCAGCCTACAAAGGATGGAGCCCCTGAATTAGGACACAGTTTTTGTGTTTCCTTTGCCATTCAATTCATCCTCAATCAGCCAGCCCCCCTCACCTGCTCCCAGTCTCCAGTTAAGTCAGCTGTTTCCAACACCTCGTTAGCTCTGCGGTGTCCTGCCACCACCACCTCAGCAGCTCATTGTTTGGTTTCATCCATGTGTCTCGGCCCCCTTTGTGTTCCTCCCATGATTCCAGAGTTTTATGTAAGTTTTGCTACCCTACCACCACTGTTTGGTCTGTCCTGTATAACCCATGTTGTCTGCATCGGGGTCCAAGCCTCACCACAGCAGTGATAGTTGGGAATGACTCTCAGCCACTACCACGTCAAATTGTAGGTCAATATCTGTAAAGCTGACTGAGGTGTCGCCAGTGTTGTATGTTGAATCTGGTTGACTTCAAAGATTTTCTGATCGTTTTGATATTCATGGTATGTGGGATATTTTGGTAACACAATTGTTTCCCCTTTTGTGCTTGACCTGAATGCCACCACATATTTCAGCTTGTCTCCTGCATGTGTCCAGAAATGCAATTTGAAAAAGTGCTGTTTATAAAATCCTGGTTTGGTGTGCTTAGACGTCTGAATGCAACTGATTTTATCCGCAGTGCTTTTTGCAGTTCGGCTCGCCGACACACACGGCACACAAAATGAATTGTTCTGATGCCCGTGGCTGCATAAACCCAAGATGTCCCGGTCTATTTGTATTCTTGCCTTGATACCGTTCCTATCAGCCCCAAATCCGGGAGGACAGCCGTAGAAAATGTGCGCCTTTAATGAGATTGACATAAAGACAAGGCAGTGGGTGAAAACAGACAGAGCGACTGGAGGAATGAAGGCTTGGAGGACAGATTTGTGGGTTATCCATCTGTGAGTATGATCCTGGAAAAAAACTGTTTACAGAACAGCCGGAGAGGTGGAGGCAATTTCCTGTCAAAAAGCTACAAAAGAGATCATGTTCTTTTCATTGTTTCATTTCTTAAGACAGGCAGAAGAATTCAGTGCATGTCTGATCTACATTTCCCTGCAGGTCCCTCTTGTTTTTACGGGATGTCTTTTTGAATTCCAGTCTGTGTTGATCAGGGATAATATTGCTGTCTTTGTCTGGTTGTCAGGGAGCAAAGGAAGGCAACTGAGTGACATTAAATGGAAATGAAAGCATAAAAATATCACAACAATGAGAGGAATTATTCATTTACAAAGAGAGACTGATGGCTCCGCCCTCTCACAGTGGCATGTCTGTGCAAAATGTGTCTCCGGCTCTTTGGGTGATTAGTGCTGTGTGTGTTTTCCCTCCATTACCTCCGTCTGTGCAGGCATCCAGACCTGAAGTCTGATGGGCTCGCCGTCTCCGAGTGCACGGCAAACTTTGGCGTGCATTCAGTCAGCGATCCAGACTGTGCCAGACTGAATGAAGAACAACAACCACAGTTTTGGAATACTAATGGAAAATTCAAGGGCCTTCAGCTCTGTGTGGGAAGCTGCCATGTGTCAGCATGCAGCACTTAACATAAAGTCACTTACTCTCTGTGTGTGTGCGCACTTCTTTGCCAGTGTGCTTTTTAAAGCACTCAAAACCCCAAAAGCAAATTAAAAGAAAAACACACTTCAGCACAAAAGTGTTTGTTTGTTGTTTTTTTTTTTATTTCTCACTTCAGTTCAGAGGAAACAAGCCAATATCTGCTAGAAACCTGCTGCGCAAACTGGAACACTGAGCATATTGATCAAACACAAAAAGGATTACTAAGTTTCGACAACCCAGATTCTGAAAAAGTTGGAATGCTGTGTAAAAACAACATTGCAAGAACCAATATTTTATTCACATGAAATCATTTCAAACATTAAAACAAAGGAATTATATGGGGGAAATTATATGGTAATGTTGAATTTTATGGCAGCAACTCATCAAAAATAAGGACAGGACAGGGACGGGAAAAGGCTGTAAAAGTTAGTGGCACAAATAAAAAAACAGCTGGAGGAGCATCTTGCAACGAATTTGATTGATAACAGGTCAGTAAGAGAGTTTGGTATTTAAAAAAGCCTTTTAAATAGTGCTTTGTGAAAAACTGCACCTACAAACAGTGGATCAGAGTAATGTTTATCAATCGGACAAAATAGAGAACATTTTGAATATCCCATTATCTAAAGTTTTATTACCTTCAAACTATTTAAAAAATCTGGAGAAATCTGCATTTTAAAGAATGAGGCTGAAAGTCGGTATTTGACGCCTCGGATCTTCAGGCCCCTAGAGGGGCCACTGCATTAAAAACAGATCTATTTCTGTTCTGGACATTTACACAAATCCCTGTCTGCTCACTCTGCCATCCACAAATGCTGGCTAAAGCTCTATCAAGCAAAAATAAAATAAAATAAAATAAAATAAGCCATATGTGAACACCATCCAGAAAGAGTCTCTTCGTTTAAAACAGAAAACTGTTATCAGACAAATCAAAACTTGAAATTATTTTTGTGCACAGTCACGTCTTCTGTACTAAAGAGCCTGTTATCAGAGCACAGTTCAAAAGCCTGCCTCTCTGATGGTATTGGGGTGCATAAATGCCTCTGACATGGCCAGCTCACACGTATGGAAACATGTAATCAATGCAGAAAAGTACTAGCCTGGCCCTTGCCTTCCTATGCAGCTCCACTCAATTCTAGTTTCCCTTCACTGCTTCGTCTGGGACTTCTCCCATAGACGAGGACTTCTTTGGGAGCATTTCAGTCGTGCCAATCACAGAACAGAACGTTGATTTTCTGTGCAGCATCTGCTTGTAGTTAATTTTACCTGGGCCAATCAGCAAACAGAAGGTGGAGTTTTAAACAACATCGATTTTCTGCACAGTGTCTGCTAGTTATTTTAGCATACAGCAGTGGAGGAAGTGAATGAAGCCAGTCCGTGTTGATAAGGCTTCCAAATTAAATAAAATTTGTCTGACAAAGCAGCAGCTCTCATTTACAGTCGTCTCGTTCGCTCATTACTTCTCTCCTCTCAGTTGGGTTGTTTACAGCGCATGCGATTTTCGGTTAGCTTCTTAGCTTAGCCTCCGTCACAGTGGTGCTGGCACACATACGTCGCGGCCAACCGATCCAATTGTTTTAAACTTCATCAGAGGCAACGCCTCCAGCAAGAATCACTTCTCCATAGCCGAGAGTCCAGACCCTCGTACGAAGCAAAGTGAAGGACAGGGTCTGGTTTTTACCAGGTTAGAAAAGTACAGGTTCTAGATCTTTGGTGTCAAACTCATTTCCACCGAGGACCATATGAGCTTTATGGCGGCCCTCGAAGGACCAGTTGTGATGAATTTTGGCATTTCGTGTTTAACTTTGACTAAACAGTGTTTTAGCGCGTCCTCTTTTAAACACTGATAAGAACTGAGTGTATGACTGCCTAAATCTGAAATAAATACAGAAATATTAAAGACAGATTCAGATTATGGTTGATGGTGACTTTAAAGCAGCTTATTTTCAGACATTAATACTGTGCTATCCAACTAAATTGCTCAGTTACTTAAAGCCAACAGCCAACCGGAGTGCCCAGAGATAGGAATTTATTAAATCTATTTTTATTTCATTTTTTAAATTAAATTTAATTTGTTGCATTTAGTCATAAATTTAAAGTTTACCATTGATATAAGAAACAATTTTCATGTTAAGTGAAAAAAAAAAACATTATTTTTGGGGGGGCGCCCCTCCTGGTGGGCCACACGGGATTCACCCGCGGGCCTTGTGTTTGACACGTGTTCTAGAACAAGATTTCATCCAGACAATGTCTTTTTCAGGGAAGGCCTTGCAGATTTTATCATGACAGTCCACAGCACAGAGTCCAGGTGCTGAACTGACCTGTCTGCAGTCCAGACCGCTCACTAACAGATATCATTTGATGCATCTTAAAACAAAGAAATCCAGCAAAAAGATCAAGATTTGTTGAAAAAAATAATCCTACCTCAGACGTGAATAAAACATTCTCCTCCAACACCTCCAGCAGCTGGTCTCCTCAGATCCTAGATGTTTACAGAGTGTTGTTACAGGAAGAATGGATGTTTCACAATGACGAACATGATCCTATCCCAACCTTTTTGACTTGAGTTGCTCCCATAATATTCATATTTACCTTTTCCCCTAAAAATGAATCAATTTTAGAATTTATATAAAATTACTAAACCCCATTCTAAATAAAATCTGGATTTATAAGACTATGAATGTAAATTGTTGCATTCTATTTGTCTTCACAAATTCCCAAATTTTTGGATATCAGGGTTGTAGAAACCACCAGCTGCTGTGGCCTTTTGAAGCTCAGAAATTTGGCCTTTAATGATTCTGCCCCATCAGGTCAATCAGTTTAATTCTCTAAAGTCCAGAACACTGTGGATAAAAACATCATTACTCGGAATCAGATATCAGGTTTGACAGATGCACACAGCTGGAGCCTGGCCTGATTTTAATGCCTGGAGGGGGGAAAAATATCTAAAAGAATTTTGGACAAAAATCTGCTCCTGTTCCACAAATAGCTTGATATCTCAACTTCAGACCCCTCCTGCAGTCCCAGTTCTCAGTCCTAGAGAAAATATCTTCTGATTACAAATTCCGTTTCGTAGTTTCTTCCCTGTTTTCAGCTCTCATTTGCAGTGAAACTGTGGCAGATTAAACTGAAAGCTGTGCATCTTGAGTCTGCTTTGGGTTTCTCATGCCTCGTCTCTGTTTTCTCTGCAGTGATGCTGCTGGACACAACAGAGGCTACCTCAGAGCTGGGCTGGACCACCTATCCAGACACGGGGGTAAGCAGAGACCCAGTTTGTCCATGTGCTCTCCATCTGTCGGGACATTAAAGTGTTTGCGTTTGAAGAGTGCGTTGCACATGTGTAACACATGTTTGTGATTAAATGTAAAGTTAGAATCTCATTAGAGCTTTATGGTGTGAAGGGTTTAAACATGATGGAGTGTCTGAAATTGGTTCAATTTCTCTATTTAACAGCTGATCCTATATCTTTTACCCAACCATGAACATTAAGTGGATTCATTCTGTTAATACTCCAATATACTATTGTTTATGATATAAAACACACAATGTGCCTGTTTTGTGTATATGATGGCGGTTTCACACACATCCAGGACATTAGTCTGTTTAAAACAAGCACAGTTAAAGTAATGACTTTCAAACATGGATTAAATTTTAAAAAAACAAAAAGTCCTTCATATTGTTTTTGTTTGCCAGCCCATTTCTTACGATTACCTTGATTCTGGTAGTTTAAATGTGATGCAGGCTTTCAGCTGCATCCTTCCTCGAGCTGCAGGGGGTGGTGGAGCTCAGCGGGACGTGTCAGGAAGGGCAGCGTGTGCTTCCACAACATTAGTGTGTTGCCAAACAGTTGCTCGATACCAAACGATTTCTTTTGCAGTTGCCACTGATTTGCGTGACCCTGCTTTTATTAGGTCACAGCAGAACAATCTCATAATGATAAACAGACTTTTGAAAGCTTTTATTCACACAATTATTAGTGTATTTGTCGTAAATATTGGAAATTGGAGTTTGCATGCATGAATGAGTCAATGCAACATTCTGGGTATGTTTTTGATGAAGGAATGACATCATAATATGTTATAAAGCTAAAAAATATAAATTTTGTCCAACACTGCCTCTTGAAAATGAGTAAAACCTTTAGTTTCAGGATAATAGTGAGAAATAAAATCCATCCTATTTTTTTCTTTCTAATTTGTCTGAATCTCTGCTTTAATTACTCATTTTAAACCTTTAATCTTAAACACATGTGTATAACTGTTTCAATAAAAACTTTTCTGACCTTTTCCCCACATCTCCCAAAGATGAGCTCAACCTTCTTCATCAAAAAAAGAAAAGAACAAAGTGAATGTTTACACACTTTTATTTGGAAAAGAAAAGAACGAGTTATACAGAGTTTAAATATTCAGAAGAACTCGTTTTGGTGATTTTTATATACAAACAGTAAATTTGTATTTTCAAAACCTTTGAGCAAACAAGGTTATTGGCCCCTGGGTTGTGAACCTCTGTTAGTTATGTACTTGGGTTTGTTATGTGATGGGTGATGGGGTCAGGCAGGAATGAATGGAAGTCTATTCACGGCCCTAATAAGGATAGAAATACAAACGTGTGTGCGTCTCTGTATGGTGTGATTACTGCGTGCTCTGTGTGTACTTGCGTGACTGTGCGAGGGTCAACCCTTAGGTCAGTTAAATTCATTCATCTGTGAGTGATTACAGCTCACATCTAATATGGCTCACAGTTACACTCACACACATCAGTCTGATGGTCCTTATTGTCCAGAGAATCACTCATCTGAAGGACAGCGGAGCAGACTCTGAGTGCAGAACATTAAACTGTGACACGTTCAAACCTATAAATTAACTGAACTAACGTTCCTTGAAGCAATTCTTGTCACCTGCCAAAGCTTTACACAAAGACAGTCTGCTCACTCTAGGAGTATGTTAATGGGCTGACTTTAAGCTACTACCGCACCTAGTTGTAGTTCGATATTTGTAAAATGGACCGAGTCATAGCAATGACTGAGCTGGCTAAAGTTCAATTAGGTTGACACCAAAAGTGAATCAGTTGTAGATGTGCATCCAGATTCTTTCAATTCCAGTTTCTGAGATTTTCAATAAAATCTCTCAAGTGGCCCATGAGATATTTTGCTAACAGACAGAAAAAGGAATCACACACACACTCACAAGCAAATACATCATCATGCGACTTATCATCAATGAGCAAAAACAAAAAACAAAAGGCATATTTATTAGTTGATGTTATTTTTGTTTCATATCTAAGCAACATCTTGCAGACTCCCTCGCTCACTGCCGTCTTTGAGCTCAGCCTGCACCTTCCTCCTCCATCATCATCATCATCATCATCACCATCATCATCATCATCATCATCATCATCATCATCATCATCACCATCATCATCATCATCACCATCATCATCATCAGTTTGTCCTCCAGCGTTAGGGATTAATTGAATACCATGTTTGATTAAACAGGGCTCCGTTTGGGTTAGAAACTTGTGAACCACGATGGCAGCTGCTAATAGGAGGCCAGCCTCTTGTGTGTGTGTGTGTGTGTGTGTGTGTGTGTGTGTGTGTGTGTGTGTGTGTGTGTGTGTGNGTGTGTGTGTGTGTGTGTGTGTGTGTGTGTGTGTGTGGGAGTAAGTATGTGCATGAGCAGGCATTTGCATGAGTTTCCTTCCCCCTCTTCAACCTCTCCTCCTTCTTTTATGGTCCTTGGATGACAAGTGCTTCTGAGATGGAGATCTGGTTATTTGACCTGAGGCCATCGAGCTGAGAGAAGGACAGACTACGAGACAGGGAACGAGACGGAGAGATGTTGTGTCAGTTCTCTTTTTTTGAAAAACCCTTTTGGGTTTTTCTTTTTTTCTTTTTTGTCTTTTGATTTAGAGTCTGTGGATATCTGTGTTCTTCCCTGCTGCATGTTCTTCCTTTCTGGTTTTCCAATCTTTTTTTCTTTACATTAGAGACTCAGCTTGGAGCTCAGCTTTCCTACAACCTCCCCAATATCATTATCCTTCAGAAATTCACTGGTTTCTGCTCCCCACAATATTAACTACACCTTGTAGCTACTCACTGCAGAAGCATGGACTGCTTATATAAAAAAGCTTAACGTAAGAAACAAAACCATAACAATATTTTTTTAAAATTGATGGTTAATGATCCCAAAAAGTGAGGAAGAAAGTGTATTAATCTGTTATTTATTTAATAATTAACACATAAAAGTTCCAGATTCTTCTTGACCAGTTTCATTATATTTCTTTACTAACACAAAATGAGTCCAGCCTAATTTGGTTCAATCACAGGACCCAAGCTTAAATGGAGTCATCTTTGTTTACAGTGAGTGCAGACCCACATTTCAGAACTGCATATCAATGCATCTGTAAAACTCTTTCCAGATGTACCATTTGATGGAGTTGAGGAACATTTTTTATGTTTGATTTTATAAATTTAGCACAAAAAGAAAGGAAATGAACTTAGTGTTTGTAGGATTTTTTTTGTAACAGTGTGCCACATTTGTAAGGAACATGCATTTGTGGGATGAACAGTAGAGCTGTGTGTGTGGGTTGTGCATATGAAAAATTTGCAAAATCTTGGTCGAGCAGTTTATTCTGCTGTTGTTGTTGACACTTGTTTTGAGCTTCTGGTAACTCCAGGTCCTACTAATCAGGTGCTCCGTATAAGATTTACTACCATGAAGCATTGTTACAATAAAAAAATAATTTAACAAACACCAATTTCATTTCCTTACTTTTTATATGAAGTATATACTGTATGCAGTAAGTGCACTTAGTCTGCATTTAATCTCCTCATTTCCTGCTTTATGTTTTATATGGTCTTGTTATTTTTACTCTGTGTTTTTGCTTTGTGTGAGTAAGTGCATGAGTCTTTAGCTATATGTGTTTAGGTTTATTTTATAATACATGTTTGTGTTCTGCTAAAACCCACCTCGCCTCATTCGTTGAAAGCTAGCGTGGCTCTCCGGCATTTCAGTTCAAATTAAATCACAAAGATGAGATGAGTGTTCCTTTTTTTCTCTTTTTTTACTTCTTTCCCAATGATTTTTCCACCCCCTCCCAGTCAATCTGGACCTTCTTTTTTCCCATTCTTCATGTGGGTGGCTGGGTGGGACAAAATGAGGCAAGAAAAGCTAGGGGAGGAGGGGTGATGGGGCTTTTCAGAACAAATAAAAGCTGAGTTTCTGCACGCGATCCAAACACACAAATGCTCTTTACCTGTAATCTCCAGACACACCACAACAAATGCATATTTTTTTCTTGTTTCCACCCTCCTCCCCTCCTTTCCCTCCACCCTGCCATGTGCTCTTTGTTGTCCCTCCAGAGTGAATCAGAAGCCTTGGAGAGAGATTGCAGTCCTTTCACTCCATCAGACTGACAGCTCCTTAGATGGTTTTTTAATCTGCTCGCTGATCTTATCATTATTTCAAACGAGCCAAATATTAAAAATTTACTCTCTGATGTGCGATGCTATGAGGGGTTTTACTCATCCTGGCTGTCAGAACCACACCAAGAAATAAACCCAAGCTTTCAGAGATACAGGAACATGTAGAAACTCTGAATCCCACATCTTTAATGCACCCTGATAGGCTGTCAGGATCTTTTGTGGGTTTCCCCATTGTCGTAAGGGGAATAATGACGACGGGGGTCTAATACATAATTCTGTTGGATTACAACTGAAAAGGTCCAGATTGTCACTCGAGGCGGCACGGGCTCCAAGCAGAACATTTTCATCCCTGGAGGCTCAGTTCTGGGTAATTGGTGAAACTAAAACCCGAGTCTTCATTTACATTTTGGTAAACCTGACAGAGTCGAGTCTCCTCAGGTGGGCAGCTCCACGTCTCCATGTTTGACTCAAAGGTTTTACTTAAAAACTGTTTCTGAACATGTAAATCATCTGCTTCTGTTTAAAAACTCAACAAAACCTGCTCATTAGTGAATGTGAATGGCATGAAAAAGAACATTTCATGACAAAAGCCCTGTCTGTTCTTATAAAACTGGGATTCCTTGAAAGAGTGCACATCACCCTGTATGACTCTCAGCTACTACCACATCTCATTCTAGCTTAAAATTGTAAAAAAATTACTAAGTTAGGACAATTGTTATGTTTGCTAATGTAGAAGGATGTTAGAGATGCAGCTGCCAGGAAAATGACAAAAGGGAGATGTATGGATGAAAAAATAATTCTGATGAATGACAAAAAGCTATTTTATAGAGTATCTCTTGTCCACTAAAACATTTTCATTTCTTATTAATGTAGTTGCATTTAACACAGTGAAATGAACAAATATAAGCAAAAATAAATTTAAAAATAAAATAAAAGATTTTACATAAAAAGATGGACACGGACTAAAGCAAACACTTAAAATTCACTTTTTTAAAGTGTTTTTTACTCAACTTTGGGTATGTACTTCTTAAAAAAACAGTCCTAGGACCAAAAAAATGCACCCAGGGGCATATTTACTGTAAGCAAATGTATTTTTAATGTATATTAATGACAAATTTTATACTTCCGTCATTTTGTGATGTCACAAGTCGTAAGACAACCCACCGGAACCTGCGTTCAGCCCCTTACCTAGCAACCCCCGGATGAGACTCCTCCTCCTCAGTATAAAGAGCCGTCACGATTGTTGTTATGCAATGTGCAGCTCATTTCACAACAAGCCTACAATAGGGCAATGGGTAGAGTGTTGGACCAGAGAGTGGTAGACCAGGGTTTGAAACCATCTAGGACACAATTTAATTATTTATTTATTTTCGTTCGTTATGAACACGTTTTCTCATGCACCTCTATTGTTTAGCTTACTAAAGCCTTGTTAAAGCATATTTGTTCGAGTTTCTGAGGTATTTTGACCACTGCTGCTCCCTGCTCTGGTAACAGCATGCAGAGTGAGCGCAGAGCAGAGGAGGGAGAGAAAAAAAGAAAGAAGCTGCAACCGACTCTGCCTCTGGCTCTCTCATATGGTTGTCCAACGGAGTTTCTGCTATTATTAGCCATGCTAAAGTAAACGCTGGCTTTGGAGGGCGGAGTTAATGTCAACAGATTTTTGGAGGGCGTTACCAACAGAGCTCATTAACATAAACAGCTCTTCTGAACAGAAGTCAGAGCAGGCAGAACTGGAAAATGGGAAATTTTATTATCTGAGAATTATTTTGTGCATTAAATTGAATGAACATGGTCTGGATAGCCCACAGACATACCATAAAAATTTCTAGGACCCATAATTGGTCTCCTTTAAATTTGTATTCTTTCTGACAGCCAGCAGGGGGCACGTTCAGTGGTTTTAATAAAGAAAAGATAATTAAGTTTTAAAGCACCATACATTTTAACGACACATCTTTTTGCATTATACAAACAAGCAAACACAAACTGTGATTACAATGATGCATTATTCTTTTGCAAAGCTGTAGAGCCGTACGAAAAAGGCTAAAAGATAATTATTACTTTAGTAAAAGGGGAAAGAGTTTATATTTGAATGAAATTTTTAAGCCTTTGTTAAACACAGCATGAGGTTCATTATGTAAATCACATTCCACTTTAAAGTATAGTAAGTGTGGGGGTCACCTCGAGTGAAGAAACAAGATTTACTGCCTCGAAGCAGGCCTCAGACAGGCCTGATGAGAGGACAGGAACTCTGTCACAAACTGAACTCTATTTAGGCCATGACAGGTCATTCTAACCATGGAAGAGAACCCCTCAGTTCTCTTAATCAGATAATGGACAGAACAATCTCTTCTGTTCGTGATTCATTTGTTGTTTAACTAAGAATGTTTATGCATTTGTTAATTCGTGATAATGACTGTCACAGGAAAAGTGGAACCACTTCTTTTCTTTTATCGTGCCTTAAAGATTTATAA